AAAAAAACAATATATATATATATATATATATATATATATATATATATTGTTTTTTTATTATTTATTTATTTATTTATTGTGCTGTTGTATTTTATGTAATTGTATGGTCCAGCATGTGTGGTGGGAGAGGGAATCAGTTGCTTTGTCTCTTAACCTTGTAAATGCTTGTCAGAGAATGTAATTGTTGTGCGCTCCTATAGAAAAAAACGCTACCGTCCCTTTAAGTGCTTCCACCAATTCTGATGGAGTGCTGATTTACATATCCCATCCTCTCCTCCCCCTTCAGGAGAGCTGAGTGAGGATGTGGAGGCTGCCCGTGAGACCACCACAGATCAGGAGGACCAAACCAAAGACAGAGAGAGTGGGGGGGAGAGGGAGCTCACCAAAGGGACAGGTAAGAAAATGCAGAAAGTTTCCCGTGAGGGGTAGGTTTAGGGGTAGGGTTGGTGTAGGGCAATAGAAAATACGGTCTGTACAGTAGAAAAACCATTACGCCTATGGAGAGTCCCCACAAGGATAGCTGACCAAACAGGTGTGTGTGTGTGAGTGTGTAAGGATATACAGAAAATTGTATAACAGAAAATTTTATAAATATAAGAGCATATTAGATTTCTATATTATACGCTCATATATATTTATACGTTTTTTTACATATAAAATAGCAAAAAAAAACAATATATACCAAAGACAGAGAGAGTGGGGGGGAGAGGGAGCTCACCAAAGGGACAGGTAAGCCCTATCTTTCCAATTTACTAGACAGGGGGTCCAGTTTAACAGGGGGCTGTTAGATTTTAGGGGTTTCTTTTTCACACTGAGAATCCTTTATATTCCACAGCTCCAGTGTTGTGGCTTATTAAATAAGGTGATGTTTTACCACAAATATTTCAGTGCTCTTTAAGAAGCTAAATTTTTTCCAAGAATCAAGCTTAATTTAATATGCTTTATTTCTCACCCCTGAGGATTTAGTTGGAATTCCCAGGAAAAATTATCCCTCATTATGGCGAATCTGGTCAAGTGACAAAAACACAAGTCAGGGCCTGCTTACAGAGTTACAGCGCGGCCATGTGTCTAAACACATGTGACCGTGTTCTCTGCCTCACACACACCTCTGAAGAATGCTATCAGATAGGAGTATTTTGCAGGCAGGGACGGGGGGCGGTTGTGGCAGGTGCAGGTGTCGGGTTTCATAGAGAGGTGTGGTTTAAGAGGAGGGGGGTTGCTCGGGGTGTTGGAGTGGATTGGAGTGCAGAGGAGAGAGAGGCCTGTGGAGGTGTAAGTGGAGATCAGTGGTGTGTTGCTGTGCAGCTGATGTGTTCGGAAAGCGGCGAGGGCCTGCAGCACGTGCTCCGTTACGAGCTGGTTTGTGCATGCGTGCGTGTGAGGAAGTCACCTGCCCTCTGGTTTGTTACTATAGTCATAATTATGTACCTGTGCATGATATGTACCATTTTAAAATGGCATAACACTTCCCATTAGGTGTCATTAGTTAACGTTAGTTAATGCGCTAAAATATTAACTAACAATAAGCAATACATTTGTTACAGTATTTATTCATTTTTGTGTATGTTAGTTAATAAAACTACAGCTGTTCAATAGGGTTGTGACGGTGAGGAAATTTTCCCACCGGTTAATCGACGTGTGACAACACCGGTAATACCGGTATCTTGTCAGTCAGCTCGACTCACTCTCCTCACTAGATAGGTACATTAAATCTGATCTGTGATGCGACTGTCGTTCGGCACGCTGCATTGCTCTTTTACAAAGTCTTGATTTTGTTTTGGGGGTGTACTAGAACAGGCTCTCATACTAGGTTGTTCAAAAAACATAATTTTTCACAGGGCCGTCCTTCGGGGGGTGCAACTGGTGCGGTCGCACTGGGCCCCGCGGCGAATGGACCGAGGGTGACATAACCCCCTCCACCCCCACCACCCGGAACGCGATCGCGAACGGACTGAGTTAGCTGGGCCAGTGTGTGCTGTGATTGGCAGCACTCGGCGCCTGGTCGGGAAATGTCATGCCCCTTACCATAGCCGCCTGCGAGCTTCAGTGTAAATATTGCGACAATATCAAATAAATTTGAGCGCGATTTAAACCCGGATGATTGTAACCAGTTCATCTGCCTTGGGAAAACTAGCGTGTGTCCGACACAGTGATAACACTCGTTACCTTCTCTAGTGCAGCTCAACCAGGTCTCGTCCCATTCGTCTGTATTTGTGATATCACAAATCCCGGAAAATATGTGTTGTAGTCCAAACGAGTCGTTCGTTGTAGTTTTTGAAAAGTGATTTCTGTTAAATAAAATATGTACTTTTGAAGTGGACTTAGAGCTTTGTAACTTTGCAGATCTTTTTTTATGCTCAAACAGCAACATTACAGACTAACTAAAGTTGAAAAAGTGAAAAAGCATAATAGGACCCATTTAAATAATTAACATTAACTATGATTAACACGTTTTAGAATGATTTTTCATTGTTAGTTCACTACTTCGATTGTAGTTAATTAATGTTAACAAATTGAACCGTATTGTAAAGTGTAACCAAAAAAAGAAATAAAAATGATGAAATATGAATGTGAAAACACATATGTAATGTAATTTAAATGTAACTGTATTCTTCAAAAACTCAATCAAGACTACCTCTAAGGTATCTCGCTGAAATTAAAGTCAATATCTCTTACAAAATAGTTACAAACCCATACATGAAATAAAGTGATAATTGGAAAACAAAACGTTTTTATTTTTTTTAAAGCTATTAATAAATAAAATCAAAAAATTTAAATAATTTGAAATAAATAAAAAATGAAATAATGAAATAATCATGGATATTTTCATGCTTTTTCAGTTCTTTTCTAAGGAAAGAAAACAAAATAATGTGTCTAAATTTGTTTGGATGCCAGTCTTAGAAGAATATATGTACTATACCTGGTTGATTATTTTTTCTATTTTATTTTGTAGTGACTTTAATAATAATAATAATAATAATAATAATGCTAAATGATATCTAGTATAATATGGTTTAATAGGAAAGCACTCATGGTTTGATCTCAATGAATGTATACTTACTAGTGGTGCTGTATAAAATGGTTGGGAAACACATCAGTACATATGCATGCATGTGTGGTTTGGACGTTGAGCATTAGTCATATCCTTGGACAGGTGCGTGCTGGTCTGAATGTGAGGTGTCCATTCTTGCTCGCCATCTCTCATTTGAAGTTCCATTCACATGGAGTTCAATTCGTGCCAGTGTGGAAGCCGTTTGATTGCGAGGTGGAAATAGTCAGGGCATGCACCTGTCTGGAACAAGTGTTTTCACTACAGCTGTCCCTCACAGACTGTCACGGTCAAGGTGTGTGGAGGCAGGCAGGATGACGAGGACGACAAGGATATTTAATGTAGAGACAAGAGCGAACGGGCTAAACCAACAAAAGGGGAAGAAACCACAACAAACAGTCCACAGGGGTGTTACACAGACGACAAGATATAACTTTATTTCTTCGTGATAGCAATTTTAGTCTTTTGCATGTTCCACGTTTTATCATTATTATCGTCATTATTTTTTAAATTCCGAAACTACAGCAAAAAAAAAAAAAAAAGTTAATTGGAGCATTTGAAGGCAAATCTTTTAAAACGTCTTTTGATTTTTTTTCAACTTTCATTTTAAATGAGGCTGAGTTGTTTGTGCACTTTGAGCGTGTGCCACTTGGCTTTGATGGGGAGAAATAATGATATGCATCGCTTGCCTGAAAATGGCTAAAAGTATCAAAATAAAGCACTTTAAAAAGCATTAAAATGAGCTGCTTGATTAATAATTCAGCCGTTACCTGTGGTGCCGAAGAAGACGACCCTGCGCATAAGGAGCCCTGCTTCTTTTTCTGAAAGGCATGCGATTCCATACAAGAATATTCAATTCCTTTCCTCCCCTTGTCAGTTGCTAATCACCAAATAAGTGTGTTTCTGTGTTTTCACAAAGGAAAGATGTGCTTGCATATGAAAAATTTACAGGCTTCCCAGCAGCTTATTAGGAACGCTTAGTTAAAAATAACGTGCATTAGGAAGCCAGGTCTAGGGTGCTGTTTGATGTCTGAGGAGAGGTGGAGAGGGGAGGAAGGAGGGACGGGGGTGGAAGAGTGAAACCTGGCGGTGTTGTGATCTAAGATGCTGGTGCTGCTTTAATGGAAGCTCTTTTATATTCTTTTTCTAATCGTGTTTCGAACTCGCTTTCATGATTGACGGACAGAGCAGCGTGAGACGGAGCTACGAGAGGCTTTCTGAACTCTGCCTGGGAAGCGCTGGAATGCTTTTAGTAAACAGAGGCTCTCTTGTTTTGGCTGGAGATTGTCTGAGAATGTGTGTGGAGAATGCATCAACGGTGAGCCGCTGGACTCCATCGCGATGGGGACGTGGCTAACCTGTTATTTAAAGGCACGCATCCGAGCGGATTTGAGTCACCCTGTCTGCGCGGGCTGTTATTAGGGCCTGTTATTAGTGTTGTTGAAGTTTTTCTTCTTATCCTAGTCATGCGAACACTGAGTGTTGAAACGTGGTTCACAGATGACTCTCTGGTTGAGCGTGTTAGTACCATCCGAGTTAAGCCGTGGCCGATCTGATGGGTCTCTTTTGAACACGTCATTTAGTGCATTTAGAGAGAGTTTGTGCTGGATGGGTATGATGTAGGCAGGTTCAAGGAAAAAGATACAGATACCTTTTTCAAGGTTACCTTGATTAGGTTAGTATAAGCATTCCATAATAGTTAATAATACATATCTGAAATATATAAACATCAGCCTTCATCCATTGGGTGAGCATTGGGTTAGCATTAGTGCAATGGGGTGATTGGGTGTTACTAAAGAACAAGGGATGGATAGATATGTGGCAGAAAATAAGAATAGAGGGCAAAACGGATGGACAGAGAAAGCGGAAGATACATGCCAATGTGGAGACGAAAGAGATGAGAAGGATTGTTAATTCACTTAAGGACTGGAGGAGCAACCACAATATGATTTTAAGTCAAGTCAAGTCAAGTCACCTTTATTTATATAGCGCTTTTAACAATACAGATTGTGTCAAAGCAACTGAACAGCATTAATTAGGAAAATAGTGTGTCAATAATGCAAAATGACAATAGTAAACACTAATTTTCCAGTTAAAGACAGTTCATCATTGAATTCAGTGATGTCATCATCAGTTCAGTTTAAATAGTATCTTTGCAATCAAGTCAACAATAACGCTGGAAATGAAGTGTCCCCAACTAAGCAAAAAACTTCCAAGTTAGTTTTTCTCCATTTGCGATTTTAGATGTTTAACATAAATATAGGTGGGGAGGGGGCGGTTTACAGGCAAGGAGGGGGTCTGTGGTCCTCGGCAGGTTTATGAATAATTCCTTTCAATCCCCAACT